GGTTGACGACAGTTTTCGGAGGCATAAGAGCTCCTTCTTTCCCCGATCCGGAGCCATCAGAAGTGCCGTTGGGTTTAATATTACTCCTCGGATCCCCCATCTCAGGCGAAATGGCCGACGTCATGACCGACCGGGCGATGCTAGAATGTTGCGCCATCCCCCAGTGGGATGTTCTGTGTGAGTGTTTATTAAGGGTATTGTTGCTCGTTTCGGAGCTTTTTCACAGTGTCTCGAGTTGATTAGGACTTGTATCACACCTGGGCAACTCGACCAAAAAAAAAAGTTGAGAAAGAAGAGAAAAGAAAGTGTGTCGAAGGTTTGGATGAGTCAACCAACGGGAAAACCGGGTCTGATATCGACCACTTGGAATATTCAAGGAGCTTTGAGATCTTCAAGGGATGAAAGAACCAAAGAGGTTGGGGGGAGGAGGTTTTTTGATCTGATGTTCAAAAAAAAAGGATTAATTTCTTTTGTGCTTCTTTTTTGTGGTCCAGCAAGTGGGGGGTACAATATCAAGGAGAGATAGCGCCAAGTACGTCAAAGACTATGATGGAATCACGCTGCAGATTAGATTGAGGTCCATAGGGTGGATCGATGGCTTAAAGATCGTCCATATATGATGTCAAGGGGAGTTTTGACAGAGTGGAGAGAGAAAATTGTATTGATTATGATTTGGAGTTGCGAGATTATTCAGGTGTCTAGGATTCAACAGCTCTTATAGACATTATATTGATGGGAGGTCTCACCAAAATCATGCAAGATGTGCGAAGTATCGGTTCTACCTCTAATAGAGAATGCTTGGCTAAAGGTATACGGTATACAGGTTCGAGGAAACACGCCGGTGGGGCATCGAACCATAGTCAATTTCACCCCTGTGCAATGCTCTGTGACATGCTCATAGCCGTTGGGCTTCCCATCTTGGTTGGAGGTTATCAGTGCACCCTCAATGGATTCTAGAGGTGGCTCAACCAGAGTACACAAAATTTTCCGTATTTGGAATCGAACTCTGCCTCCAGTGGATCAAACATCAATAATCATTGGAACACCATGCGTGACCTGAATCTCACCACTCGGGCTAATCCACACTCCGCTTCCTTGGCGACTTTCGGTCCTCAATACAACAGATTGATCTCCGACCAACTGTGGGCGTCCGTTGCTGCACGCTGATCTCCGCTGCCGTAAGCTCCCAAAATTGGGAACCCATACCCCATGGTCAAGTGCGGAATCCTTGGCGCTTGGCGGTAACGCAGGGGGGTATCACAGATAGCATGCCTAGAAGATAGCCTCCAGGGATATTTGGATACGGTAGGATGGATCACGTACAACCATCCACGCAGAATGTTCCTTGTCAGTTGCTCAAGTTCAAAGTCAAGCCAATCAAGCAGGCGTATGCCGCAACACTCAGTGCTGTCAAGACCAAGACTGCATTGCCACTGGTACGGAATTTGTGCCGATGGATCCCATCCTCCCCTACTTCAGAAAAGAACTGTCTATTTCCCTGCGAGCGACGAAAAAGCCCGATAATGAGAACGCCCGTGCCGTATATCGCGAACAGAGCCCCAATACTGTAGAACTCGGCAGTGAAAATCTTGAGCACGACGAGGGCGAAGGAGAACTGAGAGAGAGCGGTTCGAACATAAGCCCCCTCAAATGTGCGCTGGGCCGCGCGCACCTCAACCATCTCATCTGAGGTCAGCACTGCTGAGCGGGCTCGGTGCATTCGAAGACGATAACGATCCCCTGCACGACGCTGAGACAGTCAGACTTACACAGTGAGGTAGGTGAGAGATAAAAGAATATAGGGTGGACGAGGTAGACGAGAGCTTTTATGTAAACACACCTCAAACATGGTCGCGAAAATTTCAAATCAAAAGAGGTTCTGAGTAGATTTATTAGAAGTGGAGTGCTAATTGCTATCTCACAAGTTTCATGGAAGTTGGGTTCCGAGAGAGTCGTGGGAGCGGGTGCTCCTCACGTGGATCTTGGAATTGTAAATAATTACTCCGTACTCCGTAGTATGTATCCATTTACAATGAACTTGACTATCACTGAGATCTCCTTTACTTATAATTTCATACCTTTCTCTATTAGCCAAATGTTTTTCCCACCAATAATGTGAAGGTGATTCTAATTCCTTGTCGGCAATCGAAATAGCCCCCCAGGGAAAAAGCGGCTACCGACGTTCCCCACACTCCCCAGGGTTCTCCGAGATGTCTATTTTCTCCAATTTCCTTCTCTATTTTTCTCCCTTCCCATTTGAGAGAGAGATCGAATATTCCGTGTCAATCTCCATATCTAATATTTGCTTAATAATATCCCTACGCCCTGATTGAGAATGGTCAAGGTATTCGATGCGACGGAAGGTATTGGCTCTTTGCATTGGTATGACCCCCACGCGGGATATTTCGACTAACTGAAGAAACAGTCGGAAAGCACAACACTCCTGAGAGTTGTTGGGTGGTTCTATACGGCAAGGTCTACGATGTACGGTTTCAATAAGACCCTTAATGTGTATTGCACTTTCCCCGGCCATATCTGACTCTTATCTAGGTCACTGATTTCCTGACCAGTCACCCCGGCGGTGCAAAGATCATTTTGAAACTAGCGGGCCAGGATGCTACCGAGGAGTATGATCCTATTCACCCCCCAGGCATATTAGAGGAAGAGCTTAAGCCTGAGGCATGCTTGGGGACAATCGATGCCAGCACATTACCTAAGGAGCAAGCGTCCTCTGAGCCTCAAGAGATTGAGGGCCCACCGCCTATGGATAACCTTCTCAATCTGGACGAGATTGAGAAGGTGGCTACTAAACAAGTGAGCAAGAAGGCTTGGGCATACTATTACTCCGCATCCGACGATCTAATCAGCAAAAACTTCAATAATGAGGTTTACCGGTCCATTCTCTTACGACCTAGAGTCTTTATTGATTGCACAAAGTGTGAGCTGGACACAACGGTCCTTGACTATCAATTGAAAACGCCAATTTACGTCTCTCCTGCGGCGATGGCCCGTCTAGGTCACCCATCCGGTGAGGCCGGCATCGCAGAAGCATGTCGTAGCTTTGGAGCCATGCAAATCATCTCTAACAACGCTTCTATGACACCTGAACAGATTGTTAAAGACGCTGCTCCGGATCAAATCTTTGGCTGGCAGCTTTATGTTCAGATTGATCGTAAAAAGAGTGAGACAATGCTTACACGCATCCAGAAGCTCAAGGCAATCAAGTTCATTGTTCTTACCCTTGACGCCCCAGTCCCAGGGAAACGAGAAGAGGATGAGCGAACTGGTATGAGTGGACGGACTGCTGCCACGCCTAGTGGCGTGAAAGCTGCCGAGCGCTCGTCAGATGATACCCCCAACCCCACCCCAGGATCTGGAGGTGTCGGCCAGCAATTGTTTGCAGGCACTGATCCTTCCTTAACCTGGACGGATACTTTGGCTTGGCTTGCCACTCAAACTGATCTACCTGTTATCTTGAAGGGTCTACAGACTCACGAAGACGCATACCTTGCCTCACTCCACGCACCTCAAGTTAAGGGTATCATTCTCTCCAATCACGGAGGACGCGCCATGGACACTGCTCCCCCGGCGGTTCATACTCTCTTGGAGATTCGAAAATACTGCCCCGAGATCTTCGACAAGATCGAGGTATATGTGGATGGAGGTATTCGTCGCGGCACAGATGCTGTCAAGGCCCTCTGCCTAGGCGCGAGGGCAGTTGGCCTTGGACGCCCGGCTCTGTGGGGCTTAGCGGCGGGTGGAGTGGACGGTGTTCGTCGGACATTGCAGAGTAAGTTGACTAGGTATTTGACCAATCTCTCTTTCTGACTCTGTGGTAGTTCTGAACGACGAAATCAAGACATGTATGCGGCTGCTTGGAGTGGAACGGATTGATCAATTAGGGCTCCAACATGTAAACGCCCTCTCACCACTTCGTCTTTTGGTCTACTACGTACTGACTCTGCTCTTAGATCAATACCCGTGTTACCGAACAGCAGATCTACGATGGTCCCACTACTCTCGAACCTTTACGGCGCGCATTCCGTGCGAGGCTGTAGGCGACCGGCTATACTCCCCGAGTGTAAATGTGCTTCATTTGATTTGACTGCGGAGTACCTAGATTCTCATACTACGTTACATTCCATTCAACACTTACAATATTCAAGAAGGTTTTTCTTTTTTTCTCGAACAAGTGCTCCATGCAATACCCTCGTTGGCCGTTGGCCCACTCTGTCAACGCCACCCTAATCCATCTCCACCTTCATTCAATCCACACACCAAAAAAAATCTTCTCAGACGTGAAAAAGACAAAAAGAATTAGTTTCCCTGGGAATCGAACCCAGAACCTTTCCGGAACACTTGCTTAAAGCAATTGTTAACGGAAAATCATAACCGCTAGACCAGGAAACTGCTTGATACTAGAGAATGTCTTTTGAAGCGTTATGACCAACATGACCCCAAGCCCTGTGATTCTACCACTATTTCCACATTCTGATTTTGATCAAAGAGGTGTTCAATCTACCTATTCATGTAATGATCTGAACATTTTCTTTTGCTATGGATTGATTAGAGCTGGACATGTGTAATATTTTACCTACGTAGGTACCTAACCTGCTATGGTCTGTATGTCGCGATATATTCTCCGCATCTCACATTTCCATTCATACCTCGTGGATTTTACAATGGTTTTCCCGTACAACTGCTCCATTCATTGCTAATGCACCCATGCTTGGGTTTGCCGACGCCAGCCAAGCAACTGCCCTCATAAAGGCCAGAGGGTTTGGCATAACAAACCAATCTGGTTGCAGACGTTAGGCTGACCACCTACGGGGCTCATTGGCCCGGGGAAGGGGGGGTTTGATTTTGAGGCTGAATCAACCCAGCTCCTGGGCCTGGATACTCGGTTGACAAACGCCCGCTCTATCCTCACTTTGATTGATGGTCAATCATTGCTGCTTGGTGTCGATATCATTACTTCCAGCCATATGGGCTCATTGAAAATGTGGGTTCCATCCCTCAGAAGCATCAACTGGTGGCAGTCTGGTTGTCTTTCCTTCGGGCGTACGTTGATCATTCCCCCGCTCATGCAAGCCGTTCGGGGAACCCAGTATAGTTCTGACTGGGGTACCAAGATAACGGTCCATGTAGGAACTATCAAATCTACAGTAGAAGCACTTCCGCAGAGAATGGATGTTCTGGTTGTTCAAGGAACCGATGCAGGAAGACATCAGTGGGCCCAGGGTACTAGTTTGATATCCCTCTTGCCTGAGGTGCGAGATCTTCTGTCCAAATTTCAGAATACAACCACTGCTATTCTGGCAGCTGGTGGCATTGTGGATGGGAGGGGCTGTGTTGCTGCTCTCGGCCTAGGTGGGTTGTTCCGTTCCCCTTTTATTGCAGATGATTGGCAGATATAGGCGCCGATGAGATTGTTATGGGCACAAGGGTACGTCTTGTTTCTTCCTCGTCGATATGGAGCCTTGCAAATTGAGTCCAGTTCGTTGCAACCTCGCAATGCGCAGCGCCGTCCGCGATAAAATAGACCATCGTATCGAGGAGTGATGGTGAATTCTCAACCATTAAGTCCACCTGACAGGAGGTATTCCGGCCAGCCAATGTCTTTCCGAGGTAGTATGATCACAGGGCCATCGTCGGTGTTGGTTACGATGATTATCGAAATGGGGTGGTCTCTGTTGAACATGCCATGCATTTAACTCGGTAGGAGATGAATGTGTTTTTGGAGCGATTGAATGCGGGGCTCTCGTTTAGTGTGTCTACGTAAGTAATATAGACCTTGTTCCATATCTCTTGTTTTGGGCATAACATGAAGATGTTGACTTGCACACCTGCAATATATGCTAGACCGATTATATGTGAAAAATAGACCAACTCAAACATACATGATGAAAACCAGTCCAATCCAATCCAACCAACTAGCAAGCTAACAAGAAAAATTGTTCTTTCCATCAAAATTAGAAATTGGGGTCAGATCAAGGTCGACAAGCATTGGCAATAGGCCGAGTTGAGTGTCCTCCCTCTTATCCCCCCCCCCCCCCCTTCCCACCCCCTCTTTATTCTCACTTCTTAATTTCTCGACCTTCAGTGAGCGTCTATACCTCTCAGTTCACTCCTCCAAAATCACGCACTCTTCAGGCAAATCAAGATTCACAGCCGTGTTTGGTCAGCCTTGAAGTCGGGACCTTGGTGTTCCCTTCTGAGCTGCCCGCGATTTATTCCTCGATTTATTACCGTCGGCCCGGCTACGAGTACAACGTCGAATTGTGTATTTCCAACAGCTGGAACCTGCAAGAGACTACTTTCTAATTACACCGCCATTACAATACTCGAATCGACCCCCAGCAACAATCAATCCGTCGCGATGAATAAGACCACACCCTCGCCGAGCCCCGTCCCCAAGGCTTCGCCAGGCTCGAAACCCTCTCTCTCCCCGACCGCAGGCACAAAGCGCAAGAGAAATGCCACTGCCAAATACTACGCCGTTAAGGTGGGACACAAACCGGGTATCTACTATGGATGGAATGATTGTCTGGCTCAAATAACAGGATTCAAGGGAGCAATTTGTGAGTGTGCTCTTGGCAGTGGTTCTAAAAGACGCGCCAATTTGGCCAGAGACTGATACATAAGCTCCCTAGTCCAATCGTTCCCTTCACAAGAAGCAGCCAACGCGTTTCTGAATGGTACCAAGCTTCCAGCCGAATCACAGAGCTCGGAGAATACACGATTCTACGGAATCCAAAGGGGCCGGGTTACTGGAGTATACACAGACTGGACAACGGCACAGGAGCAGATCCGTGGGTTTCCGCGACCTCGATATCGCAAATTCTCCACCCGCGAAGAGGCGGAGGAGTTTGTACGGGAAGGACAAACCCAGCCCCCAGCCGGGTTCGGCGAGGCACCTGGACCTTCCGGTCCCCATGGGATAACCACCGAAAACCCCAAAGATGCAGAAGGAGTCGACCTTGCGCCAGGCGACGGCCCATTGCCGAAAGGGGCCGAGGATGGATTTGACCCCAACCTCCTCCTAGACCCAGTCACTGGAAAGGTGGTGTACAAGACCGCCCCCCAGATGGCAGCGACAAAAATGCAATCAACAGGTATCCCAGGGATGCTCCGGATATACACCGATGGCAGTTCATTAAGGAATGGAACCCCACTAGCATCGGCCGGGGTAGGAGTATACTTCGGGCCTGGAGATTCAAGGTTCGTTCCTTCGCTTGCCGAGATATTTTCTACTACGCTTTCTAACTTCTGTCGCTTATCCCAGCAGAAACGTATCGGAGCCACTAAAAGGCAGTCGTCAAACAAACCAGCGTGCTGAATTGACCGCGATCCTTCGGGCGATTGATATTGCCCCTCGGCACCGAGATGTAACCATAATCACCGACAGCCGATATTCGATTGACTGTGTTACTGTATGGTTTATCAATTGGCGTCGCAACAATTGGATGACCCGAGACAAGAAGCCGGTCGAGAACAAAGACCTGGTTGAGTCGATTCTGGTCAAAATCGAGGAACGCAATGACCTTGAGGTGAAGACCTTGTTTGAATGGGTTAAAGGTCATAATAAAGACCCCGGCAATGAAGAAGCTGATAAACTAGCCGTCAATGGAGCCCAAAGGGGGTTGTCTGCTAGAGCAGAGGCACTGCATGCGGCTCAAGAGGTGCCCGATGAATCGTTTGAAGATTTCTATTAATTGTTAAAAATAAAGAGAGCATCTTGCATATAATAATCGAAAAGTAAGGGCATGATATAGTTGATGAGCAAGTATATTCTGTGTTAGCAAGACGCCAAGACCGATCTTGATGATGATGATGATGATGATGATG